TTGCCTCGGTTGAAATGTCTCGTGATCTGTTCCCCGAAGTCGAAAGCCTTATGTCGACCGCCAACCCCTATATTCGACGGAAAGCAGCGATCTGTGCCATGCGGATATGTCGCAAGGTTCCAGACTTGCACGAGCACTTCCTCGAGAAAGCTAAGAACCTGTTGTCGGACCGGAACCATGGCGTTCTTCTCTGTGGACTGACACTAGCGATTGATCTATGTGAAGCGGAAGAAGAGGAAGACGAGGAAGGAGGACCAGTCGGCGTGATCGAAATGTTCCGGCCGCTGGCTGGAGGACTGGTTCGCGCTTTGAAGGGGCTGACTACTTCCGGGTATGCTCCTGAGCATGATGTGTCCGGTATCACAGATCCTTTCCTCCAAGTCAAGATCCTTCGCTTCTTGCGTGTATTGGGTCGGGGAGATGTGGCCACCAGCGAATTGATCAACGATATTCTGGCCCAGGTGGCCTCCAATACGGATTCCTCGAAGAACGTTGGCAACTCTATTCTATATGAGGCCGTGCTTACGATTCTGGATATTGAAGCCGATTCTGGTCTGAGAGTGCTAGGCGTCAACATCCTTGGCAAATTCTTGGCTAACAAGGACAATAACATCCGTTACGTTGCGTTGAACACCCTGAATAAGGTTGTTGCAATTGAACCAAATGCAGTGCAGAGACATCGCAACACGATCTTGGAATGCCTGCGTGATCCTGATATTAGCATTCGCCGGCGAGCGCTCGATCTCAGCTTCATGTTGATCAACGAAGACAATGTGCGTGTGCTAGTGCGGGAATTGCTGGCCTTCCTGGAGGTGGCCGACAACGAATTCAAGTCCGTGATGACCACACAGATAGGCATCGCGGCTGATCGGTTCGCACCCAACAAGCGCTGGCACATGGACACCATTTTGCGGGTTCTTAAGCTGGCTGGGAATTACGTCAAAGAACAGATCCTGTCTTCATTCGTCCGTCTCATTGCGACTACCCCTGATCTGCAAACCTACGCGGTACAAAAGCTCTACTCCTCATTGAAGGAGGACATCTCACAAGAAGGTCTCACGCTGGCTGCGACATGGACCATTGGTGAATATGCCGATAGCCTACTCCAGGGTGGTCAGTACGAGGAAGAAGAACTGGTCAAGGAGGTTCGGGAGAGTGATCTTGTCGACCTCTTCACCAACATTCTCAACAGCACCTACGCCTCTCAGATTGCTGTCGAATACATCATTACTGCAGCCATGAAGCTTACTGTGCGCATGTCGGATCCCGCTCAAATTGAACGCATTCGCCGTTTACTTTCCAGCCGGACCGCAGACCTAAGTGTAGAAATTCAACAGCGTGCCGTTGAATACACCAACCTTTTCGGTTACGATCAAATCCGCCGTGGCGTGCTCGAGCGCATGCCCGCGCCTGAGATCCGCGAGGAACAACGGGTACTAGGTGCTGCTTCCACTACTAAGAAACGTCAGAGTAAGCTTCTCCGTGGGAAATCGACCACAAAGGTCGCCAAACCTGCAGAGCATGACCTGCTCCTTGACCTGGTTGGCGGAGACGCTCCTGTCACGAGCCCTACCTCCAATGGATCGAACACCGCCGATCTGCTGGCAGACATTCTTGGCGGAGACTCGGGCATGTCATCTCCCTCGCCGGGGCCTGCTGGCCAAAAGAATTCCAACAGCGCCATCATGGACCTGTTTGGCTCCAACGGTCCTTCGCCTCAACCCACACAACCCGCATCCGCCTCGATGGATCTGCTAGGTGCAGGAGGCTTGGGTGCCTCTGCGCCCTCACCCTCCGGCTCTCCCGCGCCTGTCACTGCTTCGACCCCTGCACACACCGCGCTCAACAAGGACGGTCTCGTCCTTACCTTGCAGGTTCAGCGAAGCGGTGCCAACGCCCAGATCCTGGCCCGCTTCCGCAACGATGCCAGCTTCGGCCGATTCACTAGCGTCGGCTTGCAGGCCGCCGTGCCAAAGAGCCAGCGGTTGCAGCTGAGCGCAATCAGCAAGGCTGATTTAGATGCCGGCGACGAAGGCACACAACAAATGCGTGTGACCGCTTTGAACGGGGTATGTCTAGATCTCCTTCCTATTCTACATTCTTAAGTCTCGCACTAACCGATTATCTCCAGGGCCTTCCTGCCAAACTTCGTCTCCGTCTTCGTGTCACTTCTGCTCGCGACGGCGGAAACCCTGTCACCGACCAAGTGGACTGGTCCGAGCCGTAGATCAAATCGGTGGCAGCGATGCTAAAAGTCCATCCGAACGAATGTTTAATTTTCCCATGAACAGTTAAATCCACTTCTATACACCCCGGTTATCGTGCACCTTCTTCGCTTTTGCTATTTATCTAGAATTTTGTTTTGCCATTGATTTCCTTTTCTCCTGTACTTCGTTTCACTACTTGGAGGGAGGGAATGTTCTTATTGTACATGCTTCAGATGAAAGTTTTAGCGTATGAGAAAGTGCAGGGTGTATTCGCTTCGAGCCGATATCCTAGCTTACTAGTAGTGTGTTCCTACATGTATGTACACATCAGATACTAATAGATGTTAAAGTGCATTGTGACACCTATAACGCAGACTAAATCCAAAACATAGAACGCAATGGAATGAATAGGCGATAAAAGCAAGGCTCTATGACCTTCAAAAGAGAACCCAGATCAACTGCAGCCTCCGCATGAGAAGAAACAAAAATCAATATATAATACCCAGGAAACAAACAATGAACTCCACCGCAGGAAACCAAGGAATGCAAAGTCATATGATTTATCCAAAATCCAAAGCGTGAGTCCAATCTATAAGGTAGAACCGGAATATACCAAGCACCAGAATGGTATATAATATGGAGAGCAGGTCTAAGACAAGTAGCCAAGCTAATCAGATATGCTCAATGGGGCCTTCGGGAAGTAGCACCTCTCCCTCTCTCCGGTCACCGGGCAAACAAGCCTTGAGCGGAGGACGGACGATGTCATTGAACATGAAAGTTCCATAGACAAGAAGCGCGAATCCGGCAACTTGGAGCCATTTGAAGGTCTCCCAGCCGAGTCCAAGCGAGACAATCCAGATGAAGAGTGTGCGGCAGGTGTCGATTGTGCTACGAGAGGTAGCAGACACAGTGCGGGTGACAGACAGACCGAAGAAGTTGAAGCCACTAGAACGAACGTTAGAGGGGAGGGCGGAAAAATGGAGTTGAGAAGCAAGATCAACACATACCCGATACTGATCATGATAAACAAGCTGGATATGGCAACAGCACGGTTATTAAGAACCTCGTGCAATCCCTGCTTGACATCAAAGTAGCCATATCGGCCGGCATCGGTCCGTCCGACAGCAAGATACATGATCACCATGCCAACGACAGTAACCAAAAATCCGAACACACCTTCCCAACCCACAACATGGATCGGTTCCATGGCGTAATTCTCCAAAATCCACTCCTCCAACACAAATTGTGTGGCTGTGAAGATCTGCGCTGCGGCAATAAGCAGCACACCAATGATAGCCTGGACAGCCTCGGGGGTCCGAGCAACGACACGCGCCTGCATAAGACCATGCGAGACTGCATTGCTAGCACTCCCATCCTGAGTGATATCGTGGTCTGAATCTCCACTGAATAGAGCTCCGGAAAGACCCACAATAGCCACACCTAGAACGACAATGAAGAGTGCACTCCACTGGTATAAGTGGAGCTTGCGGCGAAGGAAGAGGACACTGAACAGGCCTACAAATAGAACCAGGGCACCCCGGGTCATCTGGTAGATACTGGCTGCCACAAAGAGAAGACCCACGTTCATGAGGGTTGTGCCGGCGATATCGCAGCTAGATGGCGCTGCAAGAAGTAGGATCTTCCATCCGCGGAGTGGGATGCGGCTGTCATCTTCGGGTAGGGGCTTGGGGTGTCTGCTATCGCTGTCGAGTTCATCGACTATGTTGTCATCCTCATGATCGATGCCTTCATCATCGCCGTTTATCGGGTGATATCCGCCAGTTAGGAGGGGTGAGGGGTCACTGGATAGGCGCGGTGCGATGTATTGGCGGTAGAGGAAGGTTAAGCCGACAACTAGCCAACAGCCCATTTCACCCATAAACATTACGGCTCTGCATTACCGCCTGGTGTCAGCATTAATCGCTAGCGTTGTAAGGCTGTATCATCGGCACGGGGTGGAGCCTACGTCTGAATGACTGGCTGCTCGAACAGCTTTCGCTGGCTGGGATCTGGGGAATCGCAGTTTCGCACACATTGCATATCCTTTTTGAGACGGGCCAATCAATTAGTTCGTGTTTCTTTGTAGCTTGAATCGAATCAAGGACGCACCTGATACTTGTTGAGAATGGTGTTGCACACCCCAGTCACGAGCATCATCGTGACCAGGAGGGGAATGAGGGCATGGTTCGCCATCTTGTCCCACTAAAATAGAACTGGTTGATAGAAGTTACTCCAAGAGTTAGGAAGATGGATGAAGTGATCGGAGGGTCAGTGAGGAGACAAAGCGGAGGTGAGCTTATCTGAGCTTGGTGGCTGATAGCATTTGTCACGGTACCCACAAGGTACTGTACCCGCCGACATGACTTCATGTTTGGCTTCATTTGGCACATACAATGTACGTATACATATGTAGTACAACATGTCCTTGATATTACTCTCTAGTGCTACATAGTATGTATAGAATCCTGGTTTTCCAAAAAGAATTATGAAATTCAAAATAAATGATCCAGTTGAGAACCTCTCCAGGTTCTTTCTCCAAACGCCATCGCTGAGGCCAATGGACAACACAAAAAAGTCCAGAAATGATTAGAACCCCAAAAGGTCAATCCCTAAGGATCACAAGAAATTAACCAAGATTCCTGCGTGGTAGTGTACAAAGCATCGCTCCTGAGCCATATATACGCTAGAAACGAATTCGCCGAAATAAAATGTTTCATAAACTCAAGTCCATCTTCATGTAGGACTTAGCACTGTGTACATGCTCTCAATTAGACAAGAAACATTTCACTTTCTTCAAGTCATTTGGATGGGAATGCCTTCCCTCTCGTAGCGCGCAACAGCATCCCAGTCAACCTCAAGTTGGCCCATAGGTCCGATACCCTTGACCTGGATCTCAGGCGGGATGCGGATCCACTCTGCGGCCCTTGCAATGGACTCATCGTCCCAAGGTTCATAAAACTTCTCCAGGAAAGCAGCCTCTTCGGCCTCGTCTGGGGGAGTCAGACTAGCAAAGGCAACCCAGTCATCATCCACCGGAGTAGCTTCATTGATATCGAAGTCCTCGAGCGAGTCATAGCCAAGGTGAGGCAGATCCTTGCTCGCGAGGTTCGAAAAGGTATCATGGATTGTATCAAGTGAGGTGGGGCACTCCGCCCAGGGATCCTTTGTGTCGCTATCATCTAGTTTGATAACATCCTTCTTTTCATCTTTGCCAGCAGGCTTTGTTCCCTTGACAGTGGACAACTGCGGAGTGAGCAGCTGAGTTGATGCTGCAGCAGGAGACGCAGTCTTGGCTCCGAATTGGCTAGTGATCCTAGCCATGGGCGTGTTGTTGGCAATGAGAGGGGTAGCCATACTTTGTTTTACCGGAGAAGCTGCTGCACTAAGCTTGGTGGAGGGCGGCACTGATCCGAGCGTGGCTATCTGCTGGGCTTCCGGGCTGTCGTCGGGGTTCAACCCAAGACCCATCGAAATACTTTCATGGTAATATTTGAGATAATCCTCGATCATCTCTTCTTCCTCGGGTTGATGGCTTTCTTCGATGTGCTTATCCAAGACGGCTTGCGTAGGGAATCCTTGATAGTGATGTTGGCATTCAACCACACTGCATTTGAAAGCACCTGCCATGGCTGCAGCATTAGATGTGGCGTCCGCCACCGCTTTGTTGTATTTTGCCGCTGCGCCAGGGGCTGCAGTTGCTTGAATCGGGGACGATGCCACGCCATGAGACTGCTTCCGCTTTTTGGGGGGAGGCAGTTTAAGGTTCTCGGGTGCAAGTCCACCTGGGGCATACTGAGGGACGCCCCTAGGAGATGGGGCTGCAAAAGGTGCAGCTGGGGCATTTGCAACAGACTGGGTAGAGGCGCGCCGGGCTCGCTGCAGGGCTTCTTCCTGTGCCTGCAACTGCTGCAGGTTGGTCGCGTTCAGTGCTGGCATGTTGCCTTGCATTGCCTGGGCGTTGGAGGTAGGAGGTTGGGAGGCGTTAGGACGCTGACCCTGTTGTTGCATGCGAGAAATCATCACTGCGAACAACTTTCGCATAAAAAGGACAGCACCAGTGAGGTAATCGGGAGTCACTGTAAAATGGTCATTTACAACCCAATCCTGCGAGGGCTTGAACTGCCTCATCAATTGGATACGCTAAGTAAAATCAGATTAGTAAACAAACGATCATGATATCAAGGGGGAGCTTACCATAGCGAGGAGGTTCTTAACATTCTTCTCCTGGCCATGCATCTTTGCAAACCATTGTACAAGGGCATCTAAGCGGCCGAGAGCATCCAAGGCTTCACGCAGTTGTTTAGTCATGGCGGCCTTCTGTTCGGGCGAGACGGGTATAGGTTTCGCGGGTGGAGCGTTCTTGGCGATGTCATTATAAACCTCCATAACTTGGGCCGGTAGGTTCCTGTTCCATGCCTCGTCGGCGGCAGCTCTGCTGAGTACCTGGCCCCGGCTTTGAGACTGTTGCCTCCGCATGTGTGCCTCAACCTGAGCTCGCTGTTGAGGAGTCATTTGTGCAAGATGTTCCTGTGTGAAAGGGAGACCTGGCCGTTGGGGGGTCGTGCCTGGAGCGCCTGGAACTGCCACAGGCTGGCTCATCTGGGGCGTAGCTGTAGCTCGAGCTTCTGCCGGATCATCTGCGTTGGGTCTCTTCTTTGAGGCTTGCTTCCCGGTAGCACCCTTGGCACCTTTAGCCGCGGCTGCAGTTTGAGTCTTTGCGTTCGCCGCTTGAGGGGTCGTTTGCGGCGGTTGAGGATGCTGTGGCTTGATTTGGGGGACAGGCTGTACTGCAGGGACCGGAGGTTGAGTGACCGCCGGTTGATTTAGCTGACCTGGGTGCGCGTTTCCATCAAGTTGCATTGCTCTGTTCTGTGCAGCCTGCATCATCTGCTTTTGGCGGTTTCGGTACAGAATCTCCCGAATCTGCTCATCAGTAAAGGTTGACGCCTGGGGTCCAAGCTTTTGACGAGCCATTGAAATGTCTTGCGCGGAGATTGGCCGCATGGCTGCCATATTCATAGCAGCGGCTTGTTGACCAGGAGGGAAGCCTGGCGCATTAGTAAACGGAGCCGGAGTGCCTTGGAATGGAGTTGGCGCTGGACCCTGGCCATTCCTCACTTGATTCGCAGAAGCTGAGATCATTTGGCCAAGATGAAGTTTCTGGAGCATCATGAGACGCGGGAGGTCGTTGGGGCTTGCAATTTGAGGGTTCGAATTTGCCCATTGCTTGAGTTGGCCCCATGATTTAACATTGTTAGGGACTTGCATCGAAGTGCCATTCATGTTCAGAATAGACGGTGGGAAAGATATGCGGTCCATTTGCTTGGCCTGCTCAGGGGTCATCTCCACGCCATTGTTTTGCTGCCGCAGCAGTTGGAGCTTATAAACTTCGTTTTGGCGTTGTTGACGTTGCAGCTGAGTCATTTGCTGGCCTTGAGGTATTCCCGAGTTCATATCCTGCGGGGCACCCATCGAGCCTCTCATCATGGCGTTGCCCATCTGGTTATTCATCATTGCTTGGGCTTGGCCCGGTTGATGTTGCGGTTGCTGGCCGGGGTTGGCTCGAGCCATATTATTGAGAGCGGCACGACGTTGCTGCATGATAATAGCCCGAGCCTGTTCAGGAGGCATACGAGCGAGTTGTTCCTGGATGTGGGGCGGAATATTGGGAGGCATTTGGACCTGACCTTGCATCGCAGCCTGTCCAGCAACGCCAGCCGGGTGCTGGCCCATGTTTGCAGGTCGGGACGGTGGTCGGGCTTGCGGGGGCACCTGTACCGGAGACATCTGACCCGGGGCCATGGGTTGATTCAGCATAGGCATGACGGGGCTTTGTCCATTCAGTTGTGGCTGTGATTGGGGGGTCACTTGGCCACCATGACCCGACATCGCCATCTGCGCCTTCTGCGCCGCTTGTGCGCGCGCTTGAGCCTGAGACTGTGCCTGGAACTGCATTCGATCCTGGGGAGCATTGGGCCCACCCTGCATATGCTGTTGCTGGGCAAGGAACTGAGCCTGGGCGTTTGGATTATTGGCGTTCATTGTCGGCTGGCCATTCTGGCCCATCTGCTGTGGGAACATGTTGTTGTTATTATTCGGGAATGGGGCCTGGTTCATTTGAGAAGAGCTTGCAGGAACGACTAGCTGACCAGCCTCCTGTGAGCGCAGGCCATCTGCTTGCTGTCCTTGGATGTTTTCCACATTGCCAATGAAGTTCGGGGGTTCCATCGTCTGACCGGGATTTCCCGGAAATGCGGAATTGCGTTGAAGGTTTAACATGTTTTGAAGCATCTGTCGCTGGTGTTGAGAATTCATCATGGGATCTCCCATCATGTTACCATTCGCATCCACCCCGCCATTTGGCCCACGTCCCCCCATTTCTAAACGAGCGCGACGATGGCGTCTGATCTGGTTGAGAGCCTGAGAGCGGAAGAAATAGGTCATTGGCTCAAGATTCTTCCGTGCCAGATATTGCCGCTGCTCGGGTGTCATGTTTGATAGGTTCATTTTGATCTTCTCCATATCTTCCGGGCTGGTTTTATTCAACATCTCGTTTGCTAGTCGAGAGACATGGTCAAGGTCTTGGGCTGAAAGGGTGCTGAGGTCGTCGACCATGGGAATTCCATTGCCAGGGCGCTGTTGGGGTCGCTGCTGCTGTTGTTGTTGCTGCTGCTGCTGTTGTTGCTGCTGCTGGTGGAGCATCGCCTGCGACTGCTGTTGCTGTCGCTGTTGCTGCATTGCTGCCTGCTGGTTCTGCCCATTCATGCCCATTGCCATCTGCTGTTGGCCAGAAACCGGGGATGCCTGCATCTGATTCATGTGCTGCGGAAAAGCGCCTGGAATTTGATTCTGACCAGCGCCCGTCTGGGACATCATTCCACTTTGGTAAGCGACCGCAGCCTGTCTCTCTCGTGTGTTCCTTATGTGAAGAAGCTTTTCCGTGCATTCCTTCTCATATTCGATCTTCTCGTTGGCTTTGGTGAATGCTTTTAATTCGAAACTCATGGCCGCCTGGGCCGCTTGGTGGAGATCGATGCGAGGTTGGATCAAACGGAGGGAGGTGATCCTAATTCATGCAACGGTTAGGCCAGATAAGAGTGAACGCGCGAAGCCAGTTTTCACAGGCAGAAGGTGCAACTTACATTTGATAAACATTGGTCGCCCGGGTCTTGATTAGAACCTCTGCCTTCCATCCTCCGTACGGTCCCTGATTTTGCAACATTTGCGCAACATAGGTCATCATAGCTTGCACACTGTCGTTCTTTGGGACCTGCATGTTTGGATTCATTCTCATCGCAGTATTCGGGGCTGGCCGGCCAGGCCCCGCGCCCGGGTTGGGGAACTCTCCGGGATTCATAGCGGACACCCCATCAATGGTGGACGGGCAATCCGCGAAGAGGTTCCGTGAAGGTTAGCATTCGCTGGAGTACCATGCGCAACTGTGACGATATCGCAAGGTTAGTGAGAAGACGCAAGTACGGTGTTCAACACGGGTCGCTGATCAGCGGGAGAAAAAAAAGGTAGGTGCTGGTGTGGAACCGTGATTCGAGTCGATCAGGGAGGGTGGGGATGGGTGGAAAATGAACGAAACGGAGGACAGGAGGGACTGGAGGGAACCAACACCAACGTAATGAGGAGAGCAAGGCTTCCGGGCACCAGCGTCAGATGGATTCAATTCGCTGGCCAGCACCTGATTGTGGCTTGGAGCGAATGATAGCAGTTTGTAGGGGAGATGGGATCCGTGACAGGGATCATACAGCTTTCAAGTCGCACCGGGCCTCAGTTGCTGTCCTCACTACACAATGGCAAGAAGATTCGGGGGGAGAGAAAGAACACAAGTACTTACCGAGAATCAGAATGCCACTAGGACAAAGAGATGAGTGCACAGATCTTAAAGCTAGAGGGGGGGCAAAGAGTGAAGTGGCGGTCGAGTGAAGGATATTATTCTGGTATGGTTATTCAGCGTATTATTCGCAAATGAATGAGAAGTGACGAGAAGGAAATAAAGGAAGGACTATGTTTTATTCGGCCATCATCCCATTGAGGGTTTGGGCTTACAACATAAGATGAAGAATAATAGAACTGACTGGGGCGTGTATCAATAGGCCGGTATCTTATTCGTATTGGGCGGAGAGTCACAAGGCTGGCTCGGAGGTACTTGCAGTTTGCCTGGGTGTGCACTGTTGACCCAGGTATCCCGAAAATACAGTGTGGTTTTTTACCTGTACTGCAAATACATCACTGCCAATCCTGATGATCCAGGCCGTTAAGTACCTGAAGGCTCAAAACAAGTCGTCATCATGGTGTGGATCTTAAATAATGCCCGATATTGTACCCATCATAGATAATTACGGGGTATATGAGGGTGCATAAAATAACCCCGTGGATGTATATGCTGTAGACGAAAATGAGAATTCCTCTTTATTCAATTAATTATTCACAAAGCTCTTTGCCCAAGGAAAATAACTAGGGAACAGTTTCCATCAGGATCGACAAGGGCGTTCTGGCCCTGACCTGATCCGGACGAACCAATTGGTCAAAATCCAGAAACAACAGGAGGCTGTGGCTGGGTACCAGGTACTCCACTATACACTTGAGCACACGACCAAAGCAAAGTCTTCAGTACTACCCGGGGACGGTGACACTGTTAGTCAGAGCTTAAGTCAGCCACTCTCCTGGCCCCGAAACGTCGACCCCCCATGGCCTGTTCTATATATACACTTCTGCCTTTCACCAACTTACATTCAGTCGCCTCTTTCATCTGCGCCCTAGATATCTCGCCATGAAAAACGACTGAAACTTGCTTGTTTTTCTCTTATCGGCTTTCGCTGTTTCTTCAGCATGTTTCCCTTATCTGTGTCGCCCATCTCGGTGGGTTCGAACGTCTTTTTCGCATTTGCCCTCTTCCTCATCTCCGCACTTGTGTTACTTCTCCTGCGACGGTTTCTCACCCTCCGGGCCACCCCCGCGTATTTAATTGTCCCTATATTCCTAGCTCTAGCTCTGCCAGCTAGTGTTGTGCTTTTGGTCCCCATCGATTTAGCATCCAGTTCGCGGGATGGATCCGGTCCCAAAGCAATCTGGCTACCGGAACGAATGGTTTTGGTCTGCTGGCGCATTGCCTACTGGTTAATCTTTGTTCTCACCTGGTAAGTGTACTGCGCTCTTCATAACCAATGGCTGTCACTCATTCTTATCTCTCTTCCAGGGTTATCCTCCCATTACTCGGTGAATATGTCGACTCGGGCTACCGTGAACCGAAAGGCCGGCTTATGTACTCTCTCCGATCGAACGCCAAATACCAGATGATTGTTCTGGGATGTGCTCTGGTAGGGTTGATCTACGTTTCAATCTCGAATGGCTTCGAATTCACATCCATCAAAGGTCTCGTCATGGCATTGGCATATGTGTGGGGTCTCGTCCTTGCCATTTACCTCATGGGTCATGGGCTTGTTTCGATCCCGCGCAATCTGCTCCGAAACTCCAATGTAAGCGGTCGGCTACGCAGACTCCAGGCCCATGCGCCCAAGGTGCACGATCGCCTGATGGACTCGGTCAATGAGTTAGCGAATCTCAATGGCCAGGTTTCGCAACTACAACGCCGTAAGACGGGAACCGCTCGTGACTTCCAGGAATGGATTGAAGAGCTTCGGGAAGGCCACGGCCAATCCGACGTGCGCGCCCCGATCCTCGAGTCACCCGATACATCCGCAACGATACCTTCTGTCATCACGGAACGCTATCTGGCCGACCTTACACGGCGGCTTCAGCGTGCTCGGCATATGAAGACCCGATTTGTAGACGAGTGGGATCGGCTAGTCCAATTATCAGCCGATCTGCAAGCCATCATTAATTCTGCAGCTTCAAAGAAGCTGGAATTTGCACCGGCTCCACGTCGGTCATCCTGCATCCCTCGTGTGAAATTCCTCACCCCGTATATGCGGTACCAGCTGTATTCCAACGTCATTCCCTCGGTTCGGTTGGCCTTAGGTGCATTCTTCGCAGTGGCATCAGTCTGCATTGTTTGGTCGGAAATGATCAAGTCTTTGGCGCCCCATCTCTCTGCCGTGAGTTTGACCGTGGTGCCTCACTGGAAGGACAATCCAGTTGGCTTTGGTGGTCAACTCACTGCCTCTGCCTGGCTATTGTACATGTGTTCGGCGGCTCTCGTTGGTGTCAGTGATGTCAAGGTATGGGGAAACCGCGCGCTTGTCCGTCGTAATACATATGGTGAGAGTGCCTGCTGGTACGCCGGTCTTGTGGCTCGGTTGACAGTACCAATTGCGTACAACTTCTTGACCTTCTTGCCAAAAGAGTTTAGGCGAACGACTACTTTCTACCAATTCCTTGGTAAACTCATCAACCTGACCCCCCTCGGGAAAGGCTTTGATTTCATCTTCCCAATCTTCATTCTCCTGCCTATCTGCGCAACAATGTTCAACCTGTACGGGCGTATCAAAAACATCTTCGGGTGCGGCCTTGCAGAGGACGATGATATCCACGATGTCGAAAACAACCCTGCCGGGTATGGCATGGGTGGCTGGCGTGAGGGTCGCGACCTCATTGAACGGGAATTGAATGGCTTCGGTTCTCTGGCGGTATCCTCCCGTGGTGGTCGCTCAACGTGGGCGTCGGATCGTGATGATGAAGGTTCCCCTGGGTCATCCAGACTGCGGCTCCCGGTTGCAGAGGGCTCCCAACCTGCCCAGAGGACAGTTGTTGCGCCTACTATTGTAGAAGGCGAGGATGAGGAAGACGAGGGCTTCTTCCAGTCCTTTGCGCATCGTGTCAAAAACACATTTGATACTACCAGCACTCCTCGGTGGTTCCAGGGTGAGCCATTCCGACTTCCGCGCTGGATGTCGGGTGATAACAATCCCACAGAAGAAGCTTCGGCACTATTCGGAGGTCGGGACGTGCCTGGTCGTCTGCGCCTAGGTTGATTACATTCCGGTCCTTGGGTCTCGTCAACTGCTGGACAGTGTAATATACCGTTTACTTGTACATAGCTCAATTCGTTTGTCTTGCTTGGATACACCAGTTCCAATTGAACATTTTTATATACGAAAAAATTATCCATGATTAAAGAAGGGGTATTGATGCTACCACCCGCCCCCCTTGGATAATACCATTTCCCTCTGCCTGAAATTTCAGTAGCGCCTTCCTCATTTAGCTAAGTACCTCTAGTTTATATGGTAAAAAGACATACATTTTAATTAGAAAAGAATCGCTGATTTCTATATGATTCAATCCCTTGATTAATGAGGTATTTGATAGAGCAGTTAACGATAAAGCAGTATATAAAGCAGTTGATATAAGATATAATAGGAGTGACTTGATTTTATTAGGGATATATATATAAACTGTAGGTACCTGCTGTCTATGCGGTATATACAGTAAATTGGGAGGCGGTAAGGAGAGCGGTAGGCAGAAGCAAGTGTCGAAGCAGGTACTTAGCTAAATGAGGAAGGCGCTACTGAGATTTCAGGCAGAGGGAAATGGTATTATCCAAGGGGGGCGGGTGGTAACTAGCATCTATACCCTTTATTTAGTGGGTAAATAAAATTGGTTTAAAAAAAAATGCCCTCGTCCAGGATCGAACTGGAGACCTTCGGATTTCAATCTTGTTACCAAGAATGTCACATTGAAAGTATATGAGACCAACGTCATAACCAAACTAGACCACGAAGGCTGTCGGCGAGTTGTCTGATAGACCACTGGAGCCGATTATGGACTGTTCCCAATTTGATAGCATTATACTCTGAACATAACTAATAAGTGAGCTACGCTTGGGCTTCAAGTATATAATCTATCCCTTCGATTTGGTCGATTTTTGTTGAATATCTAATAAATAAAGTATGCCCGTTGAATCTCTTCATGATACAAAAATAAATACCAAGTTGTATATAGTGTACCAGCTACCCGTAAGCGACCACTCGGGGTGGTGGCGCATACGTGTTACCCGACTATCTGCTGTTTGCATGTTTGCTAGATATATTGTTTGCTACACAGTAAACGATATGTTCGAGGCTTGCAATATTTGCAAAAAGTCGGCTATATCAACAGGCTGCTTCCCACTTTGCAACTTGCTTCTTCTCTCTTCATCTTCGTTATTTCGTCGAATGTATTGAACGTACTCTTACTGCTTGATCGACCTGGCACCTCATAAACTACTAGTATTCTCGGTTAACCTCACCTAACTAGTTAGTTATTCTGTATAGTTTACCTCGCTCCGCTTAGCAAAATTAAGCTGGCATTCGGATGTCCACATATAGATATGGTGGGACTACAATGTAGTGGTGCGATGTAAGAGGGAGAGAGTTGTCTATTCCTAAGGGGCAGAATGCCCGACTATCTAGTTATGGAGGGTTGGTGCCTGCCGCACCGGGCTGATGGTCAGGTGACCACCATGTCCAACAATATATCTCTCTCAGACATTAGAAACATCCGTATGACATTTTCGAGTCTTTAATTGCCTGCAACAAGCATGGTCGGCCACCTGTGTGACCATCTTACATATTTCTAGTACCTCATGTCCCTTTCCCCTTTCTCCTTCCTCCTTTCCTGATACTCCCCCAAAATATACCATAAACAGTTAGTTGAGGTTTTAAATCAGTACACCACTGTTCAGGGCCCTCGAGCAAAACCAATTACTACTGTTTCCGATCAAATTATGATCAAGTTCGGAATACCTAGGATCTCAAATTTGCGGCCGACCACATTGTGCCCTGGGTCAGCGACAGACTCAAGCTGTCAGTTTCTCAAGGCCTCTACCTGGAATATCTCCCACTACCTGTGATAGATGCAGTTATGTCAAAGTCCAAGTCCACTAAGAGAATATAGAATTTGTCAAATTCAACTTGAATTCTTCAACTATCCAGTTATCTCATATTCCACGGTGCATCTACTCTCCTCGCAAGTATACTACCCTAATACAGTTCTTCCCCTCACAATGGACGGGCTAACCTTCCAAGGCAGGTAGGTATTGTATATACCTGGGCCCTCGGGTATTAGTGTATTATCACATGCACCTGAGTAATATTACTTGTCCTAGAGTACTACATGTAGGTTTCAATCTTTTAAGGCTTTTTCTCCGAGTCATGCTTTATCCCAAAATTTGGAATTGAGCCCTGGAGTTTTGTTTAGCTGAATTAATTGTACTATTACCTGTCGTTGCCTTGATTGACTGCTGGCTATCTCATTGATGGATTATTCACCCACGAGCCTTGGAGCAGCGCGAAAGTCTTTGTGGAGTCGCGGTTGGTTGCGCTCGATTCATTGACTTGCAAAACAACACATTGGACCTACTTGCGTTTGATATATATGTTGCTTGTCATGAGAACGGCGTAGCGGTGCCGCCTCGTCTTGTTTATGTATGTACATATTCATCTCGTACAATACGGCAAAGCTCATATCAATAGTCCCACCACAATGCGGGGGTCCGTTCTGCGGAATAAAGAAACATCAATATGTAAATAATTACTCTCTAAGGACTTATGTCGACCAAAACTTTTACCGCTTTAGGACGACATCTAGAGTTGCTGATTCTTGCCATCCTCCGGGACCCTTGCAGCCCGTGAATCCTTCTCCCTGCAATTGCGGCAAAGTGGTAATAACAGGAGCTTATGGACCTTGAATTTCTTGGTGCCATCTTTTCCCTCTCTTGTTCCACATGGACATGTAATCTCGTGACCTAGTTTTCTCAGAATATTGACTTCTGCTTGTGTTTCCTGTAGGCGTTGCAATTGCGGGTCACGACCACCTGGAACCCTGTAGCATGGCCGGCAAATGTTACTCCCCTCAGACCTATGCCAGGTCTTTGAGACACCTGGAAAGCCCTCCACAGCATGACACTTGACACAAACATACGGCGGCCTTTTCTGAAGCTTTGCAAGCTCGTCTGGTGTTGGAGCAAGCTTCTCAGGGCCGTTTCGATCGTTGCCATATCTGACCAGGTAGGCATAACATCCGCCGCACCGTAAGCTAACCTCTTTCCAGTACAAGAGTGGCTTGCCATATTTAAGGCGGTTGATATTCTCGGTCACAGGACAATTGCCATTTTGGCATCTTCCGACGTTCTGCACGAGAAAGTCCTTGTCCTCTTGTCGTTTCTTGGCGCCAAGGGATCGCAGTTCACCGGTGGCATATTTTGAAGCCCGGCAAGCCCTACACAAGATCATCTGGTATTCATCTGACCATGTGTAATCCGGCGCATTTGGGTTCTGTGGAGTATGACAATGTCCGCAATGTACTTGGACTCCAGCCTTCTTATCCTCGAGCCGCTTTTGCTGAGCCTGCGCGTTGGCCACATACTCTAGCTTGGGCAAATTGTGTTTGGAATCTCGGTCGCGGTAACCGTAGCAATAGGAGCAGATGAAACCAGCAAGGGGATCATCCTCCCGCAGCAGGAAACGCCGAGTCATCGTGATTGGGTGACTTTCCATATGACTCAAAACCTGTCGGCGAAGAACCGTGTTCTTACAAGGAAAATTGCTGCACTCCGATGCCCGCTGAAGATTTGTTCCAGGGATTCCCTGTTTGAGGGACCAGCATGAGTTTAATCCTTTCCATCCCGGAGAATACAGGACTGGATCTCGAATCACCTCAGCTAGCTCGAAGGTGGACAGCGTGCTACCTGCGTAAACACGTCCATGCCACTGAAAAGTGTCGAAGATAATCATAAACAGCCCTTCTGCAAGCTGAGCATTGGCAGCATCAACACCTGAGCCGAAAACAGCGAGTAGCACAAACCTGCTCAGAGCCCCAGGAAGACGCGCTCTATCATAGTGTAGATTTCGAACGCCACTCCTGATACTCAATTCATGGCCGGTTCGGCGTACTCCCCCATGACCAGTGAATCCCACATAACCATCACATCCAAACTCTTGATCTGGAAAATCGCCAGGAACAAGGTGGCAGTAATTCACCATGCGTTCATCAGCGTAACGCAACAAAGGAAGAGAAAGTAGGTCTTCAACCATCCACTTGTCCTTCTCGAATAGTGCTTTCACCTCTGGCAGTGTAACCGAGAGGACATTAGTCATAAGTGTACCCACATCGTATCGTCGCAGACCGAGAAAAAAAGTCCAGGTGATAGGCTTTTCTTTCTTGAAGCAGGAAAAGGACATTCTCTGAGCCCAGTCCAGCAGAGGCTCAATGACGGATCTCAGGGCACGCTCAAACTTGTCCCCAGAAGGTAAACCGCACGGGACACCCATGACTAGATGAGCAGACAACGCTTCATCTTGGCCATGATCAGACACTGGAGCCGTGCCAATGTCAGCCAGAACACAAGCACTATGTTCCTCAGACCAATCTGCATCAGGATCCTGCAATCGGTCATATTCGTCCTCAATATCAGAAAGATCAAATACTGTGACATAGTTAGCGAGAACAAACAGCGTACTTAATAATAGGGTGTATCTCTTACCATATCGATCTTCGACCTGATCCTCGACCACAGACCATGGATTCTCGTGATGTGGCACTGCATCAACGCGCTTTATATTGCCCGCGATCAATGGGCTACAACGTTGATGATTTTTTTGAGCGTTGTCAGAAGCGTGGGTGGTATGATTAGCTGGGTGATATCTCTTTGGGGCCCGAGGTATGTCTTCCCTATTGCCGTCCCCGTGATTCTTCCTCTTATTGCTGGGCGGCTCCATTGCGTCCGGCAATCATTCAATTCAAACACAGAAAAGATCTTATGGGGTATATATTGGCCCAGTGAGATAGACCTTCAGATATTGGTGAAGTAGAAAAGCAAGAGTGTACTATACTAGTGTCCAAATATGAATGGATGGGGCAACCTTCCAACAATGGAAGTACCTCTTCCAAACCGTCACATTACCAAACAAGATTACCATTTCGTTCTTATCTGGCTATGTACATTGTATACTAGTAGATATACCTTTTGGACTTGTGATGATATGATTGTATATTATCTATGAACCTATGACCTGGAGGAACCCAACAGCTCCGCCGGCCTCGGCACATTTTACTTACATATAGAGAGTTTGCATAACTACGACTACAGACGATTAAAGTATATTCCAAATAGGACATATTATTATAATTCTTATATCATAAGACAACCCCAGTGCTAATTGTCAAATATTTTAGAAATTCGATCATTGTTTACAAGTGTCTTACTGGCTGCTTTCAGTTCTGGTATATAGTACTATTGTGGGGTGCAAATTTCACAATCGGCTCAAGTGGTCTATCAGACAACTCGCCGACAGCCTTCGTGGTCTAGTTTGGTCATGACGTTGGTCTCATATCTTTCAATGTGACATTCTTGGTAACAAGATTGAAATCCGAAGGTCTCCAGTTCGATCCTGGACGAGGGCATTTTTTTTTTTTCCCACATCCTAACCGAGATGGAATTCCTCTAATGCCTCTCTTCTATACTGTACAACCCTTGGATTTGTCGATTTTTAGTATGTTTGCTAGATGCTAGGCAGTTAGTGATACTCGGGACCTACTATATATTAAATTGAGGGTTGGGAGTGCTACTGTTTAAATATTGAATTCTTTTGCATCTGTAAAAATACTTAATTAAATACAACGCTATTTGTGAGCTAAAGGAAGCCTGGGTGATTTTTCTACAGCGTATGGGATACACCTATGAAAGGTGCTTCAAAGTATATGTATACATCTCGACCACCTCTCAATAGCGGTCCGTATTTCGTGCACATGGCGCGACTCTAGCATAGGGACCTGTTCCTAGGTGTACATAGTTGTTAAACTTCTTAGTCTAACAGCTCTTCAATCTCACCTACATTCATCATACACCTCGGCATCTCTGTAGACCTCTATCCTCATGGTACCTACTATACCAGCCCATTGATATAACCTTGGTTGTATCCAGCATGTATCTCAAGTCTTTTCTCTGTCTCTAGACACCAGCCTACGCTTCATTCCCCACTTGTTGTTGCATCCATAGGCGGATAGTTTAGGATAATACCATTCATACTGAGTGGATATCTTCCACCTGGCTCTGCGGACTACTAAAAATTGAGTTGCTTCTTCACTGAAATGGCTTGTTGTAATAGACAAGTGTGTTTTCTTCTCGCCACTCTTCGTAGCCTGTATCACTATCTTCCCAATCAACTCGGAACATGTATAGTCGTCAATATCTACCAATCCGGTGCTTAACAAGCAGCCTCGAGTCAAATACATAGGTATTGGCCGTAACCAGCTACATGGGTGAAATTAGAAGACTGTACGATGGGTCAGGCCGCGACAAGCAGCCGTGTGGCAAGACCAATGGCCCGGTTATCAAAAATATATACATTTCTCAAACGTGGTTTACACTGGCATATTCTTGATTTATTGATTGAAGAACATCGTAACGAACATATGCAGGTGGTATTCAGAATGCACCCCGGCTGATGCAGCTGGACTCAAATGGATGGACTCACATGGTACTGTCGAATATCTACACTTCAAATGGGCGCCTTTGTCAACCTTTACATAGTCCCCTAACTTAACTTCTTCCACAGTTGACCATCTTCTCGCATTTCACCATGCACCCAGACGTCTTTGTAGACCTGTTGGTATGTCAGATCCTGGTTCTTGGGTATTTGATACGCCATATATTTGTTACTGTAGACCAGAGAGAGATAGTACCGGCTTTTATAGTAGCTGCCCCATTATTCTTCTTCATCTTCTTCTTCATCTTCTTCTTCATCTTCTTCTTCATCTTCTTCTTCATCTTCTTCTTCATCTTCTTCTTCATCTTCTTCTTCATCTTCTTCTTCTACTCTCTCTCTCTCTCTTTATGTCAAATACGTAGCTTGTCATAGCAGGGTGTCTTGGAGACTTGATCAAGGACAACTTAGGTGGTTATCAGGTGAGTCTAAATGACATATCTACTAGTATATAATGTAGGTATAGATGACATGGTAACCATTGTATGGTACTGTAACGGTTCCGGGGAAGCACTTTGACCTTAAAAATGTTGCCCTATCTATATTTGGACACTAGTATACACTTGCTTTCCTACTTCCTAATTCCCGAAGGTCTGTCTCACTGGGTTAGTATATACCTAATAAGTTAATTTCTGGGTTTGAATTGAATTGATTACCGGGCGTAATACGGGGAGTGCAATGGGGAAGACATATATTGAGCCCCCAGGAGATATCACCCAGCTAATCACACTCCCCACGCTTTTGACGATGTAGACGACTTTTTAATATAACCGCAGATTTTACCTCGCTTGTTCTCTTTCTATATATAGAAAGATCTTCTATACGGGTTATGCTTCTAATTGCCTTCGCAGTCTATACACATATGGATATGATCCCTGTTATTCTTCATTATTCTTTTGGTTTTAATACTACGAGTAGAACGATATACCACCTATGCAGATAAATAGGATCATTGAAGTGCTACATCCTCTTCGGGGGGAGAAGCCAGCCAGCTACTCTTGTTACTTGTATTACTTGTCGTAGACAGAAAGATCGGTCTGAACATTATACTCATTTCTCGCTAACTTCTTTATTTTGCAGCTAATTCTTCTTGTCTTCTGGGCACAGTACCGGTAATTTCGCTACTCCCCGTGAACCAGTAATAGTAAGTGGCACCCAGTAAACGCCATGGATCCAAGCCAATTCTTGTCGGCTCCTTGCAAGGAGGAGTGCCAGGAGGTGCTTGTTGGAGTTTATAAGCGAAAGCAAGTTCCTTGCGAATTGTATCCAGATCCGCTGTGGGATTCACATTTCCACGTAGTCACATAGTGTAATTGCTGTTTTCAAACGAATGTCGATCCCAGTCCTTGGGGATGGAGCTGGCGATTGGGGACCTATTGCCTTGGTTGGTTCTGGCATAGGTTTTGCTCCCCTTTCTAGTTCTTTTCGACTTATCTTGCTAGTCTGTTAGATGTTGATTTGGGGGGCATTCATTTACTCAGTGCTCTATATCTCCACGGATAAACAAAGCCCTTTCGTTAATCCCTGAAGTATCTGTATACCTGCATGCTCGTGTCACTCCATCACTATTGGGTCCTAAGGATCGAACATTCTTTGGGGTTTGAATTCTTTCTTCTATTTCCCCTACCCCGGCTCTGCCATAATAGCTAGGGCTGACGTCTGTTGGTGGTTATCACTGTTTCGATTCGTGATAGGGAAATAACAAGAAACGGAAAATGAAGAGAGGGACATGGCCACATAAATGGCCGGCCATGCTTGTTACGAACAAAAAGAGACTCGAATGTGTAAATATAGGTGTTTCTAATGTCCGATATATATACATGCGGACATCCGAATGCCAGCCACAATACACACTGTATAAAATTTTATTTTTATTTTTTTTGATCATGAGGAACTTTAGGGAAAATTTATTTGTTAAATATTCAACCAAAATTGGCTACATTTGGAGGGATAGAATTTCGGTTATTTACTTGAAGCCTGGCTTTAGTCCATAGTACCATTAAGTCGTGTAACTTCCATAATCGGCTCAAGTGGTCTATCAGACAACTCGCCGACAGCCTTCGTGGTCTAGTTTGGTTATGACGTTGGTCTCATATACTTTCAATGTGACATTCTTGGTAACAAGATTGAAATCCGAAGGTCTCCAGTTCGATCCTGGACGAGGGCATTTTTTTTGCCTTTCCTATTTAGAGACGCGGGTCATATCTATGGATCAGACCAATTATTTCGGGTGTACTCCGTTGTAGGGTTACTTGCCAAGAACCGGGTAATTGGGCTAAGCGCCCAAGCGACGATTAGATTATACTTAGTTACCCGGTTCTTGCTAAGTAACCCTACCCCCATTCGGGTGTAGCCATGGTATCCCTACACCCGAATGGGGGTAGGGCAAGAACCGGGTACCGAGAAAATCATAACATACGGCATGTCTTCGTTCTCGACCCTAAGGGCGATCTAGCCGAATTGAAACGAGCAGAAATTGAGCATAATTGTTTAGGAATTCTTTTCAAGACACATTAGATATTGCACGTAAATGTATATGTAACTAGCTCATTCCTCTTCGTAATCCATGGAGGGTTACTCATCGAATTTGGTTTACATCAATACAGTTGACTATACAACTAGCTATATGTTAATATCTGATGTAGCCGACATTTTGATACATACCGAAAGACAGGGGCTGTATGACCCCGCGTTTTTGCACATACATACGCCGATCGAGGTCAGATTGGGTTACTCAAGGCCGAGAAAGAGCCTCCATATCACGACTAATGAGGAGCTGCATGTACCTTGATAAGATCTCCAAAAAAATACAGCCGGGAAGTATATAACCATATTCAGGATAGGGACATATGGATGTAACCGGTCTGCCTTGTGGGAGCATCGCCACACTGCCAGGCAGCCTCAAGGTAATACAAGGCACCCATCAATTTAGTTACCCCAACCATTGCAAATGTCGCCATGATTCCGACGTCAAAAGAATTGACCTGAATTCAGACGATCCACTAGGCAGACACAACCTTGTTGGGAGTATCACTAACCAATTGCTATGGCAAAAAACTACTCTCCGCCTTATCTGCCCATTCCAGACGACTTGGGGGCATGACTTCACCGTCCACGCTCTCCCCTCCACAGAGATCCATGACTTTACTGCCCCCAATCCTCGCTCAGTCCACCTTGGGCGAGAAGTGCGCAGTATACATAGACCAGGTCACCGATACCCTCCCCGTTCATCTACATTCCCTCCGCCTTCAACTGGACCCCGTTCTCATCTACCTGTCCAACACGCCACTCGGCCCTCTTGCGAAAAAGCTGCCATTTGCCCCAGACGACCAGCCGATCGCTCTCCTCGCAGCTGTTGTTATTTGCATATTCACCATCGTGATGAGTTGGCGCAACCCCTTAAAAATGCTCCGCCGCTCGCCGAGCTACGCTCCCGCATCATCCAACCCGCAGGTTAGCGATGAGGATTTCAGCTACATCACACCTTCAGATATGGCGGGCTCGCCAGGAGATGAAGCCGACCCGGATGTTATTTCACTCCGTCACCGCGGCACTATCTACCCATTGCGCTTCCGCGCATACGCCATTGTCGACGGTCTCTTGACTATCGGAGACATACGAAAGGCGGCTGCTGAGTGCACAGGAGCCGAACACCCGAACTGTGTGAGGCTGCTGTACAAGGGAAAGCTACTCAAGAACGACGCGCAGACATGCAAAGCCGAGGGGCTCAAGCAGCACTCCGAGGTGCTATGTGTGGTGTCTGACGCAGTATCCCAGAGCGATGTCTCCGATGATAACGGACAAAACATCCCTGTATCTGCATCAGCGCCAGCACCCCCGCCGCTACCCCGCCCCACTAGTGCAGGGGGCGCCTCGTCCCCTCCCACCTCCGCGGGTGGAAAGAGCAAGAACTCGAGAAAGAAGAAACGCAATGGCAAGAAGTCGCCCGTCGGTGCAGAAGCCCCCGGTCCCTCTCGGTCGCCACGGCCTACATCGTCAGGCCACTCAGGTGCCCCTGCCGCGTCGCCTAACATCAAGTTGCTGCGTACTCCGCTGGAACAGGTCAATGCTCTGGCGGAATGGTTCGAGCAGGAGATGAAGCCGCTCTGCGATGAATACATTGCGTATCCGCCTAGTGACAAGAAGAAACGAAACTTTGAGAATAAGAAACTGAGCGAGACGATCCTCACACAAATCCAGTTGAAGGCGGATGGAATCGAGCCAAATGGTGACGAGAGGGCGCGCAGTGCACGCCGGGCCCTCATCAAGGATACGCAGGCGGTTCTCGCCGAGCTGGACAAACTTGTACAGCCGGGAGATTTGTAATTGGTCTACATACATATGTAGACACTTACCTCCGTACAATATGTATCAATCTCATACCAAGGGCTGTTCTACCGGTCAAGTTTCCATTTTGCTGGGACCTGTCCAGCCCCTCGGGGTGGCATTGGCATATTGTGATATATCAACCTTGCTATTTCCCCTACTAAACCTGTCGGAATGATTTGCCGGCATGTATACATACCCTTTTCGTATTTCCCCTCTCTTTCTTCCATTTTCCCCGTATACCCAAATTGGGGGAGCTCACAGGAGGTTCTCACCGTTGTCTAGATCACTTTAGTGGCATCTCGGAATGATCAACATGGCTCAGGGGCAATGCACGGCCCAGAACTAAAGTTGCGAGAATCGAGATTTTTCTTAAATCATAGTCTATTGAACATTTAGAACGATTATTGATTAATATGCTGTAAGAGAGACATATGATGCATGCCTGGGAGGATGCGATAACAAATACCGTAGTCCATCCTCCGTACTCCGTAGTATGTACTGAGTGGACTTGGTTTCCACCTACTATTCCCAGTCTGGCTACCTTTCCTCCAGGGCTCTCCTTAGACTCTCCCTCTTGCTCTTTTTTTTTCCCTATCTTGATCTTCTCTTCTTTACATTCTCTCCTCTTTTCTCGAACTTTCATTTATTCTACCTCCTTGCCATAATTGGTAATCGACCTCTCCTTGCCTCATCCTCCCGGCCCCGCGAGACCTCGAAGAAGCCTTCCACGGGACCAGCCACCCCCCGCCAGCAGCTCTTGTCGAACCAAACTTGACAAACTGGACCCCCTGCAGTTGTGCTCAACCCTACGGCTGTGTTGACAATTTGCTGTTTTCGGTGTACCCCTTACGCTCTACCTTGCGACTCTACCTGGAATGGCTTGACCCGACAAGTCAACCCATCTCTACCGCAATCTCTACTACTGAGCCGGGTTACAGCTGGACTGGCCTTTTTTTCATTTGTGAACAATAACCTCTGGAATGGCGGGTGTCGCTACAGCGGCATATTCCGCAGATGCCTTAGCATCGCCCGTGGATGGCTCGCTATGGGATTTTGCGGTACCACTTGTGCACGAGGTAAGATTATTCGGTGTGGCATTCTAGTCTCTGACCTGGTAGCCCAAGAATGTGGGAAAGAAAAAAAAAAGCGCTGATCCCCTTTTCCCCCGCAGGATAACCACCACTCATCGAAACAACGTGAGTCGCACGACTCGAACTCAATCGGCGCAAAATTCTCTCGACAGCGTACCTCGAACGGCTCACGCAGCTCCTCGGTCTCGCGCAACGTACACGCACATGAATCGCCCTATCTAGCCTCGAACCGAGGACGGAGGGAACCCAGTCTCAATCGACATGGGAGTGAAGTAGGCAGTATGCGAGATGCTTTTGGTTCCGAGGCAGCCGGTCGTAAAGAGCCCGAAGAGGCCGATGATGATCTTCAACTGAGTTTAGACGGAAAGACGAACCAGGAAAAATGGATCCACCGAGACAAGCTGGCAAAGATCGAGAGTGAAGAGCTCCACCAAGCAGCCATTCTCTTCCAGCGACGGATGAGAGGAGAGAGCAAATCGAGTGTGGGACGTGGAAGGAGCTATGATTCACACCAGAGTCCTGCTAACGGGACTGGTACAGCGACCTCGCCCGCTGCAGAATATTCCGAACCCTGGCCGAAAGTGAAAGAAGAACCCGGCAAGCGGGGTGTGAACAACAATGTAGGTGGCAGTGTGCGGGAACATTGGGATCTCCGCCGACCAGAGGAGATTGCTGCGGACGATGCAGCCGCCAGCCTCTACAGCCACCCTGGCCTTGGAAAAAGCGCCTCCCGAATACCCATCTCTACGGCTAGTCCAGTTCCCATCCTCGGCCGCGATTCTGGCAGTTCAAGGAGCCGTGCCGCAACAGATGAAGAAGACCGGTCTTCACGGAACCGTAGAGCCAGCGAACCTATCACCATCGAGCAAGATGGTTCGACTCCTTCTCCACAAAGTCGACCAGGCAGTCGTGGATTCAGCAGTACACAGAACACGGGCAAGAAGACAGTCAAGAGCTCTACGAACCGAAAGACCTCTGCTCCACCTGCGAACAGGAAGACGAGCACTCCTCGATCTCGCGCTGTCTCCGGTAACAACACACAGCGCCCTACCACCCGGTCAGGTGAAAGTCGTCTTCCAACAACCGCTAACCGACCCGAAGGAGACCCGCCTTGGTTGGCAACCATGTATAAGCCCGATCCTCGCCTTCCACCAGACCAACAGATGATCCCGACCGTCGCCAAGAAGATGATGCAGGAACGCTGGGAGAAGGAAGGCCGGACACCAAACACATACGACCGCCACTTCGCGCCCCTCGCAGTGCACCCATTCGATACGCCGCCTCCTGTAGCCACCAAGGCTGAGCCAGAACCGCAACCACAACCGCAACCGCAACCAGTTGAGTCTCTACAGCTCGAGGATTTGTCACCTCGGCCATCAAAGAGCCCAGAACCGCCCCGCCCGAATACAAGCACCGGCTACAGCACCATGCCCAAGGTGCAGGAAACACCCCCAATGGGATTAGCACCTAACCCCAACCCCAACTGGAGCCCTCCAGTTGTCACCGCGCAACAGCTACCGAAGAAAGAGAAGAGCTGCGGGTGCTGCATTGTGATGTGATGGACTCTCACTCTACAACCATCTGTCCAATCTCTCTTCTATTTCCCCAACATACTTTTGATATTTGCACATCTGCTTGATTCCCTTCTCTGTCATTTTTTTATTATTTCTAGCGTCTCCGGCGGGATGGTGTTCTGTCGGTTCTGTTCTGTGATTTTATATCCGGCGATCTAGGGCATTTCTTCGCCTTGAGTTCAAATTTCTCCAGACTGCTTTTTAATTTGGCATCCTCCTTCAACACCAGAGCATGGATATTCTTGTTTCTCTTCTCCCATGCATTCATTCCTTGATATTTCCCTTCTCATCTCCTGTGATCATTGTGATTCCTACCGAAGTGGTAAGGGGGACCTCAAAAAGCTCGCTCCAGATTGCGATGGATGGAATGGGGATGAGAGACATACACTTCACAATAAACATAAGTTGTGATGTGCGCCTCTTCCTTCCCATCCTATTACCTGCCTGTGACTTTCTTGACCCCATGATTCCCTTTCCCTTCTCCAATCCTTGGATTTCTCTCCGAAACATCTTTGAAGCCTGTTTTCCCATATTCCCAAGCCTTCTTACTAGCGATTTTCTCCTCTTTTTTTGGTCTGGTCAGGTGGATTTGTTTGCCTTTTGAATGCCAGATAATTACGGAGTTAATCAGATATCAGGTTAAATGAATGAACACATACCTGCACAAAATTACTATTTGACTTGTACTCGTAAGCATGTAGATACTGCGCCAACTAGCCCAATATAGATCAAATTGTATTTTATAGACATCTACGAACTATATGTACCTTAGCTATCTAGACTTTACCCAAACAAGAAAAAGCTTCCCGGCTGACAAATATCACATGACATCATTGCCGCATCCAATCCCGCAATCTTGACGGAATGGCCAACCAATCCTCTCATCTTTTTGCTTGTACTTGTACCCCGCCAAATCTCCTATAAAAAGAGACACTACCGCCTCCTCTCTTTCCTCCCAAACCGCCCACCATTTCGTCCATCTTTACCCGTCTTTTCGGCTCCTTCGCCGGCCCAAATCCCGCCGCCATGTCCGCCGCAAAGACTCGCGCTCAGTCCCTCATTAACGACAACGCTGTCGTTGTTTTCTCCAAGTCATACTGCCCTTACTGCGACTCTTCCAAGAAGTTGCTCGACAGCTTGAACGCCAAGTACACTACCCTCGAGCTGGATCAGGATGGTAGGTCTTTTGCTTTTGCTCGCGTGCGAGAAGAGGAGTTTTAGCACCGAGCTAGCTATATTTTTGATACGTTTTTTGGTCTCTCTTTTGAATGAATCGCTAATATGAGTTTATTACAGAGGAAGGAGCTGCTATCCAGAGCGCTCTTGCCGAGATCTCAAACCAGCGCACTGTGCCCAACATCTTCATCAACAAGAAGCACATCGGCGGCAACTCCGACCTCCAGGGTAAGAAGGACCTGAAGGAGCTCCTTAAGGCCGCTGGTGCGATCTAAGCGGTGATGTCATATAAACAAGAATCTCCCGAGGCCTGAGTCTGAATATAGTCTGAGGTATATTTCGTACTCTACAGCCTTTATTTTATATCTGCCAATCCAGTCGTCTCATAGACTTCCTTTCCTAGGTCTTGTAGATCTATGTAATGTGGGGAGATATTTTCATGCCGTAGGACTGGAGGGATCAAAAGAGCCCTGTCATCTTTCAGCGTTAGATGCGTATTGAGTGGAGCATTGCTCTGGAATGTCTTGTAGTCCGACATGGGAGAAAAGTGAACAGCGACTAACTCGTACAGGTATGTTGATACAAACAAACAAAATCAAAGCCATAACCCAAGGATAAATCAGATAACCTTCTGTACGACGGTTCCAAGTGGCCTCTCAACAATCGACATCAACCCGTCGACAATACTCGTCCGGGCCCCTTCACTTGAAACAGTCTTGCCAGCCAAATAATTCAACCAAACAAGCCGACTAATCCGCTCATCAGCGACACGCCCCATCCACTTAACTGGCTTATCAGTCCCAGGCTGGAAGAGCGCGTCCAAAGCGCCATGCGCATCGCGCATCAAAACCAGCGTCTGTCCCTTCGGCACCGACTTTCCCTTCCCTGCGCCGAAAACAGCCTTGAAATCATTCATTGAAGTTCCGAAGCTCTCATCCTGGAACTCGCTCGGCCCCGCGGTCTTCTTCGCCTTCGCGCGCGCAGTGATACCACGCACCCATCCGTCGCGCAGATGCATAAAGTCTGTGTTACGAGTGGGAACGATACGGAATGCAGTGCGGATGCCGTTTTCCTTGATGATAGCAGACCAGGCGGCGTCGCCGCGGTCCGCGTCAAGGAGAAGCTCCTTGAGCTGCTGGCGCTCTGGCGAGACGAGGGAGGTAGCGGCGGTAGTGCCAACGCCGGAAATGGCCGCGTCAGAATCGGTAGTGAGCGGGTGGATTGCTGTGTGCAGGAGGCGGCGTTGCAGCTCGGTTATGTCGGATTTCGCGACGTACAGGCCGACCACGTAAACTTCAATTGAGAGGAAGGAGACGGTGCGGACACCAAGGCCAAGTAATTGGTATTCTTCGCCTTGGGACGGCGCTAGATCGTCGCCTTCTTGCTTGCCTTCTGTTGCTTCGGATGTGGGGAGTCGGATTGTGCTTGGGAAGTGAGGGATGGTGCTTGTTCCTGTTGGCACTTGCTCGAGTCTGTCTTGGCCTTGGATCGTTATTAATGATGGGCCACCGCTGGTGAAGCCGACTGGTCCGTCCATGCGCATTGCGCCATTCTTCGGAGGTGTGGAGATGGTCTTGTCATCTTTGCTGGTATCTAGTTCGTTGAGGCCGAAGAGGTCTAGCTTGATCACACCGTAGAGACCGACTGCACAGACAATCATGCCGGCTGCGGAGAGGACCATCTTTCGCTGAGCTTGGGAGGCATGCTGGAGATCCGCCGCTGCGGATGCTCGGGAGCGGAGGGGGTTATTGGTGGCATTGGAGCGGAGGGGAGTGGTGGAGAGATGGCGAGAGGAGAGGCGTGTTGTGCGGATTTGTTGCCGAGTGAGGCATTGGTAAGTCCGCCATGGGTTCTGACGGAGGGTGGAGGCCATTTTGAGCTTCGTTCGTTCGATGAGGAATGGCGAGGGCAGGATTGGCGGGTGACGGAGATGGAGTGTGGGGATGCACGTGATATGGCATGATCTACATTAGTATACCGTCATGTATCAAGAGATGGTTTCGGTGGAATAAGGAGGTTTTTTTAACTTATAATGATGGAGCTCTACTCATCTCATGTGAAAGCTGGCACATCTTGATGGCAGTTACTTAAATAATCAGTCTCTAACAGAAGGGCTGTGGATGCACTATGATATGACTACGTCTGGTGCATGTTGATATTTACTTGACAATAACCTTGTGAGAGCCACCGGTCACTTCGAAGATTGCTGTATCATCAGCATAGGCAACTTCTCTTATCAGCTGCTTGCCATCAATGGTGATCAAAGGCTTCTTCGACGCAGTGACATAGGGCAAAGTGACATTCCCAATAGTACCCTTCGGCGCCGAGAAAGTCAACACATATCCACTAGAATTCAAAGCCCAAGACGCCTTAAACTTCCCGAGGGAGGTGACAAAGCCAGCCTCGGCAAAATCCAAGTCTCCAAATTGCGGCGCGATTTTCCACGTCAATCCTAGTGGCGAGACCACAGAGAGACCGACAACAAACTCTGTTAACGCAGACGTCGGACCAGATGACCAGCCGTGTGCATGTGAGACATATGATGGATCATAGCCATATCCGCGGTCCATCCGATACCCGAAAGTTCCGTTCCTTAGATAGCCCTCAATTACAGTGCTCTCTGTACCATTCGGGTTGTTGATATACCAACCCCAGCTACGACGAATGAGGTCCAGGGCGCGTGCGGGCTTGCGAGCAATGAAGTGACTTTGGATCTCAAAAGATGATATGAACGAAGCAATGTTCTCTGGCAACTCAGGAGCTACGGCCCCGATGGGGGTCCAGTTCTTGAGAAGCTTTTCTGAAATGCTGGCTGTGTGCTCTTCGTCAACAACACCGAAAATAATTGCCATACTATTAGCATCTTGTGGATGTAGAGAGGTATCGGTTGCGTTGTCCTTGAATGCGCCGTACGACTCGTCCCAGCAGTAGGTGTTGATTGCTTTTTTGAGATTGACAGCCTGGGAGCTCCAAGTGCTTGAGAGATTGGCTGAATCTCCAGCCCACAAAGAGAGAGAGGCTCCCGTTTGTAGCGTATGATAGAGACTAGAGCGTGTTAGCTGTAAAGCCTTCTGCATAATTGATTCACAACGTACATCATCTGTGCTTCCGAGTTGTTATAACCTTGCTGCCATCTCGCCCAGTCTCGCGTGCCTGTCACATTCAAAAGCCCGCTGGGATAAGTCACCTTTCCATAAATATATTCCATGGCGTGCAGATAGCTGGCCCAATTCTCCAACAAGAAGTCTGTATCATTGGTGTAAAGCACATAATTATAGGTGCCAATCATAGACCACATATGATATGTGTCCGAGTCCTTCTGGCTCAATGGAGGCCCAGACTCATCAAATGCACCTGTTGTCTTGTTCTATAATCCCCAGAACTGTCAGTTCTATGCTAAAAATAGAACAAACAAAACTCACCTGGGTGTTGTACATAATCTGCAAAGCGTTTTTAACACTTTCCAAATCTCCCAGACTCACAAAAGCGGAAGGCACGGCAATGCCCATGTCACCAGGCCAAACCGCACGATCTCGCTTTGCCCCATCAACTATAATCGTGTCTCCTGGCCCGAGAGTCCCATTGTTTGCCCACCCAGAGGTGATACCCTTTGCAACACGACCAGTAGTCACAGGCACTTCATTCGTCTGCAGAGTATATGCACCGCTATACCAGATGCGGTTCAAAAGCTCATCATTGCAGTGAAAGTACCCCTGATAAGCTCGGAGATTCGACCAAGTGGGCTTAAATGCGACTTCTAAGCTCAAATCATCAATTTGAACACTGCCTGAATTGTCTGTGATCAAGAAGACGGTCAAGTATCGGAACCCGCCCCGCAGATATTTGTCCGGCATGATATATGTACCCTTCTCAGTTGACGATATATTTGCATACAACGCGCCATCATGATAGAGAGCGTTTGATGAGTCCGACCACTCTCCAATCCAATTTTTGGCTTCTGTAAATGCTAGCCCTAGAGCTCCGCTACCGGTGGAGGTATAGTCTAGATGGACGATGCCACCGACTTCAATACCGAAGTCGAATACAATGAGTGATCCATTGCCGTATAATTTTGCTTTGTATGGATGCGAGGAGTCTGCCACAGCGTTCGTTTTTAACTCCGATAAGGTTGAGACTGGTCGTACTGTTCGCGATGCCGGTGCGTATATGTTCTCTTCCCATGGCCCGCTGAATGCAGTGTTCGTAGGCCCAGAACAAGAGGTATCACGCCAGCAAGTGTCTGCAACAGATAGCGAGAAGAGAGACCAAAGAATCAATACCACACTGCACCAGTATGATTGTGCCATTGGTGGTTGAGTTGAAGTAGATAAATACCGCATATCGTAACAGCATACCAACCTTTTTTAAATACAGAGCATAGCACAGATAGAAATGGCTCGACCGTGCAATAGTGGATATGGGAAGGTTAGTTACCCCATATTCGCGATTGGTGGAAGAATCAGGGCAAACGATGTTAACACTTGTAGGACTTTGGCAAGGATCGGCGAAACAAGCACTCATAAGACTTCGAAATCATGTTTTTACTGCATAAACCATCTAGCCTAGTCTTTTCTCGCAGTAAATTTTCTCCGCAATGTCATGTTGCCATGTCCGCTCGGTGTAAAGACCGACCGAGTGCAACATGGGAAATTCGAGCAATGTGCGGGGTTCTATAGCTAGGGAATATAAGACCTCGTTTTTTATTAGAAAAATATCCAATTGAGCAGTCCGATCCGAGCTCACAATGCGATTCTTCGGCATTCCTTCCCTAGCCATGCCCCTATGGCTGACTGTGTCACCATTTGTATATGCAAATGAAGAACGCAGCTCAAATGTTTGCATTGTCAAAGCCAATGGGCACCAGAGAGATGACGTCCCTAACATCCTAGAAGCCTTCCAACGGTGTGGCAATGGTGGTACTATCATATTTCCAGAGGACCAAGCCTACTGGATTGGTACTCGGTTGAACCCCGTTGTAAGCAATATACAAATTGAATGGCGCGGGAAATGGACAGTAAGTGGGCTGTCACTGTATCCAATGATAAACGCAACTAATACGAGCTAGTTCTCCGACGATTTGGATTACTGGCGTAATCACTCATATCCAGTTGCCTTCCAAAACCACGCTGCTGGGTTCATTATCACGGGCCACAATATCACGATCGATGGATACGGCACTGGTAGTATCGATGGTAATGGGAACACATGGTACACAGCCGAGAAAGGCGACACACAGCCCGGTAGACCAATGCCGTTTGTATTTTGGAATGTATCCGATGTTAGTGTCGAAAATTTCTACGTCAAAGACCCCCAGTTGTGGGCTGTAAATATCATGAACGGAACCAATATGCGCTTCAATAACATCTACTGCAATGCGACTGCGGTAGATGCACCATACGGCGAAAACTGGGTCCAGAATACAGACGGATTTGGTATATCCACCCACTCCGGTTTCCTCGCGGCCAACTAACACTATGGATAGACACAATGGACGTGCAGAATGTCCAACTCAGCAATTTCGTCTACCAAGGTGGCGATGACTGCGTGGCGATTAAACCGCGATCCTACAATGTCGATATCCACAATGTCACCTGCCGTGGTGGAAATGGGATTGCTATAGGCAGTCTGGGCCAATACCAGGAAGACTCAAGTGTGGCTAATATCCGCATCGATACAGTCAAGGTGATCCGATACAACGATGACATGCACAACAGCGCGTATATCAAAACGTGGGTCGGCGCACTTGTACCGCAGAGCTCGTATGAGAATGCTGGACTCCCTCGCGGCGGTGGCTGGGGCAGCATTCGGAATGTGTTGTTCTCAAACTTCGAAGTCCATGGAGCCAATGCTGGACCTACTGTCAAACAGGACAATGGAAACAATGGCTCGTATTCGGGAACAAGTTTGATGAGTATTTCCAATGTCGCATTTGTAAATTTCACGGGCTATATTGAGAGTACTTCGACGAATGTGGCATCTGTTTCATGCTCAAATGTGCATCCGTGCTACAATATCGATTTTGATAACGTGATTCTATACGCCCAAGAGAATGCAACGACGCCGGGAATTGGGTCGTGCAAGTATACATTGGAAGGAGGGGTACACGGGCTCGATGGATGCTGAAAATTCTTCATACCAGAAACACAAGCAAGTAAGGGGACATAAAAACCGAATCTGAGGTTATCTAGATCGGCAAATTTGCTTTTCATTGCGAGTATGTGCAGCAATCACCTTGATTCTAGGCATAAGGAACAGAGACTTCAGGCATCGTGTTCTTAAAAATAGCATTGCTAATATTGAATCAGATTTCTGTAACCTTGGGAGAAAAACAAGACAATTAATACTTAAGCATAAATCGAACCATAAAGACTGACCCCGCAGCCCCACCTGAGCACTTCCCTATATGACGTTCGTTCCCAAGGTTGATTAATAAATTAATAATGTCGCTGTAGCTTCTTTTAACCTCATACCCACCCCACTGATTGTCTAAGTCCAGGCTATAATGCCACAGGAAACAGTTCGACCTGCATTTGAGGGCCGTGAGCGCCCACTTCTTTCCTATGGCCTTGCCTTTCCCGCAGCGACAGCACGCCATCTTGATGACATATTCCAGGCTTCCCGTGTATATGTGATTTGCTCAGGGTCATTGGCGCGTAATACCGATGTAATGAACCAGCTGGAGGCTGCTCTGGGGCCAGATAAGCTGGTTGGTCATTGGATCGGTATGCGAAGCCACACTTTGTGGTCAGAGGTGCTGCAGATTGCCGAAGAGGTTAGGACTGTGCATGCTGATCTGCTATTGACCGTTGGAGCTGGCAGCTTGACTGACGGCGCCAAGATCATTGCATTAGTAAGTATACCTTTTTCTTTCATATCTTCATTCTGTTTCTGTTTGCGGTCTTCTTGTCTCTTCTTATCATTCCCTGGAAGACCTATATATTTATTTAATATCAGCCTAACATCCCCTTCAGGCCCTTGCAAATCAAGTCAGTACACTAGAAGAGCTCGAAACACTTGCAGAAGGCCCCAAAAAGCGATTGGGAATCAAAGCTCCAACGCTCCCGATTATTTCTGTGCCAACATCTCTCTCCGCCGGCGAATACTCAAACTTCGCAGGCGGCACCGAGGACCGCTCAAAGCGTAAATACAGCTTCCAAAATCCAATTCGCGGACCGGAGCTGGTTATTCTCGACCCGGAGCTGGCGAAAACGACTCCCAATTCAATCTGGCTCAGCACAGGTGTGCGCGCAATTGATCATTGTATCGAAAATCTGTGTTCGACATCAGGTACCACTCCGGAATCAGACAAACTGGCTCGGGATGCGCTAGGATTGCTGGTCCCTGGTCTCTTGCGCTGTAAGAATGACCGATCAGACCGTGAGGCGCACCTACAGTGCCAACTTGGATCAGTGGATGCTATGGCAGCCTGTACTAGTGGGTCAATCGAATTGGGTGCTAGCCATGGGATTGGACATCAGGTAGGCGATTGCTTTCCTTTATTTACATTATAAGAAACCCACAATGCACCAATGGGCCTGGCTTACAGTTCTCTAGCTTGGTCCACTGGGTGTCGGCCACGGTGAGACCAGTTGTATCCTGCTACCCGCTGTGTGTAAGTTCAATGCTAAGTACAACGCCAACCGAGAAAAACAAGCTAGTGTGTGCCAATTTTTGATTCAAGATCCGGTCGTGTCGGAGGTGCTACGTGCCCGCTCGGTCAACGTGGAAGCCTCTGACTTGGGCGATATTTTGGATGCTATCATCCGCGAATTGGGAATGCCTCGGTCCTTGAGCGATGTCAAAGTAGGGCGGGATCAGTTGGATGGACTGGCGGAGAATAGCCTACATGACCGTTGGTGCAAGACAAACCCAGTACCACTGAAGGAGAAATCCCAGGTACTGGAAATCTTGGAAATGGTAGTTTAAAGACGAGATAATATGCTCTTTCACATTTGGATAATTGAGACATCCACGGACTAATCTCGGCTTTCAAATAACCCACCTATCAGTTCAGTTGTATGGCTGAGGTCATAGGGGCTTTATATACTTCCGATGGTGATGGGATTGGCATATCGACAGATATTTCTAAATGCGTCGCTGTTTCAGGATAACAATAATAGCCGTCACGGTAGAAAAGGCATGCATTTATCAAGTTTCGTTCAAGTTTCTAAATTACAGTTCCTAGTTTTGGTGGTGGCAACGTCCTATATCTACACTGAGACATGTAGACATCCTAACCACTTGGGTATTTCCAACCCTAAATGCATTATACAACATATCTTTCATTCTACAATATCTAACTAAAATACAGATTAAATATGAAGCTTGGGAGCCTCTTTCAATTGATTGATAAGCAGGACTCCACCCCCCACATTTCACGTTATACATAAGCTCGCGTCATTTCCGTCTCTAGGACTGCACTGTCGACACAGCAACTATATACAACTATGTCTCTCGCCAAGAATATCCTTCTATTCGGCGCAACGGGCAACATTGGCTCTTTCATCCTGGACGCCATCTTGACCGAGCGCTCCCAATTCGGCCGCGTCGCCATCTTCACTTCCCCGCACACTGCCGAAACCAAAGCCTCGCAGCTGAATAAGCTGAAAGAGCAAGGCGTAGAAGTGATTGTGGGTAATGTCGAAGATGAGAATGCCGTGAAAGCAGCATACGAAGGTAGCAAACCCTCTCTTCGTATCCCTACTTATCTAACTGCCCAAACCACCAAACCAAAGACTAACCACTAAGTCGAACAGGAATCGATACCGTAATTTCAGCACTGGGCCGCAATGCCCTAGCTCAACAGATCCCTCTCATAAGACTCGCAGCCGCCAGCTCCACTGTGAAATGGTTCCTGCCCTCCGAATACGGCACGGATATCAAGTACGGGCCAGCTTCGGCGAACGAGAAGCCGCACCAACTGAAGCTGAAAGTGCGCGCATACCTCGAGGATGAGAGCTCGCGTGACGACCTCGCCTATTCGTATGTAGTTACCGGGCCGTTCGCGGAGATGTATCTTAATCTCGTGCCTGGGTTGGAGACGGCTGGTGGGTGGGATGTTAAAGGTCGGAGGGCAGTTCTATTGGGCGAGAAGGGGAAGGGCGAGGTTAGTTTGACGACGATGAAAGAGTAAGATTTCTTCCCTTCACTATTTTGGTGTTTGTTTCGTTGGGATGGATGGGCTATTGGCTAACTATTCCGCTAGCGTTGGAACTCTCGTCCTGAACACTCTGCTTCATGCTACGGCTGAGACGCGGAACGCTGCCTTGTGCGTTAATTCGTTTACTACGAGCCCTGACCAGATTCA